AAAATCCCCTACTATTATTGTGTTTGTATCGAATTCCCCTTTTATGGCTGTTAGCATTAGCCTTATGTATTGAGGTGCTCCTAAGTTGGGTGACTAAATATTTACATTTGTTATATCTTCTTCTTGGAAGAACTCCTTATTGTCTAAGCAGGATCCTAAAAGTCAATGGCATCTGCTAGAGATTACATCCCAAAAGGAAGGAAAGAGCCAGCCCCACAGAGAGTGTTTGAAGAGGCACCAATGGAAGGAATAGAGTTTTTTTCTGACTTTATCCTATGAGTCCTGCTTTTTCAACAATAATCACACAGAGAGACAGAAAAAGACAGGAAAAAAAAAAAGACTTCACCTAAAAAGCAGAGAATGGGAATGCGATTGAGGTTAAAATTTCTGACACATAGTATTCCCTGGCCTGGTAAAATATACAGAATTACAGGACCTGCAGTTTCACAAGGAGAAACCACTGAATGGTTCACTGACATTATAGGCCTTAGTGAATGCTTAAAGTACTATCTTTTTTCAATAACATTTATATCAACTCTCCTTACTCAAAAATGAAATCATCCATTAACAGCTAGTATTGAAATATCTAATCTTCCTGTATTAGACCACCAGGAACTTTGGCTGGAAGGCACGCAAAAATGATATGGAGAAGTGGGATTTCAGGGCCAAGATCAGGAGGTAAGAGAGATAGGTCAAAGACAGAGGCAGAGAGAGATCCTACAAGTCAAGAGAAGACAAAGCCAGGAAAGCAATGAAAAATAATAACTCATATGTATAGTGAGCATTTATTGGGGGCTGTTCAAACATAGAATCTCATTCAGTCTTCACAACAACCTACAAGTACAGTGAGACAGGAGGATGGATGGAAGTGTAGGCTTTGCACTTATAAACATCCCTGGCATCTTATAAGCACTCAATATAAATTACATATTATCTTAAAATGGGTGCTATTATTATCACATTTTACTATTGAAGGAATTGAAACTTAGAAAGTTTAAGTCAGGTACTAGGGGTCATTTGGTAAGTAAAGGATAAAGGCAGGACTTGAACTGGGGGATCTGAATCCAGAGTCCTCTCTCTCAACCTGGGGGCCTTGACACCCACTCCTCTCCCCTTCCAGTCTCTCTTCTTCTGAGGCCCAGCCACTCAAGCAGCCTGTTCTGTGTTTCATCTCAGTCGTGCCTTGCTGCCAGCTAACTGCCAACCAAATCCTAAGCCAAACATAAGTGGATAGCTGTTACTAAATGTAACCCTTTAAAGAAGGGTTTTAAAGATGCTGTCCTGTTGACAGTCCAATGAGTGATAGACTTTCACTTAGTGTGAATTTCTTAAGCAAGAAATAGGAGAAGGGAGAAAGGAGAGAGAGAAAGATGAAAACAACCAGACAACAGTCAGTAGAAATCACTACATCCTTTGACATCACTGTCACAAATGACTACCTTCTCCATAACCAGATTGCTAACTTCGGTCCAGAGCAGAACAGCAGGTGGAGCTGGGACTCCTGAAATGAGTGTAAGAACTGCTTTTCAACAGCTTTGAAGAGACAGTGCTCTTGAATAAAATGACGGAAGGAAGAAAATGAGAGGATTGGGCTGCACCAAGACAATGGATATAACACCAATTATCCCAGGGACAGGGGGGTCAGTTCTGGTTACCGTCTCCTTTCATTTAGGTTCATTTGGGTTTTATGACATTCTTTATCCACTGTGAATACCAAATAAACCCTGCATTGGGATACCCCATCCTCCCCATTACCTCTTCTCTTCTCTCCCTGAGTCCTCTCTCTGGACCAGCTCACTCTCATCCACTCATAAACATGTGCTGGGCTGAAGTGAACTCAGGATCTCAGGTCTGCCCAGCAGCACAAGGATCCATCTTTCTAATAACCATTCAAGATGTTTCACTGAAAACACAAAATTCTCAGACTCAAACTCCTCTTCTAACACAAACCTGTTCTGTTTCCTCAGTGCCCATTAACAATAGCACCTGGGAGTCCTCCGAGTTCTTAATTTTCTTCTTAACTTTCCACTAACTAGATCCCATAAATTTGCTTCTCTGATGATGTTTCTCTCATTGGTACCCTCTTTCTCCCACCGCCACTGCCTTCTTCAGACTTGGATATTTTTATAATTTCTTTGAACAGCTTAGTTCAACTTACACTCCACCACTCCATCCTCCAAACCATCCTGCACTTTTTTTTAACATCTTTATTGGAGTATAATTGCTTTACAATGGTGTGTTAGTTTCTGCTTTATAACAAAGTGAATCAGTTATACATATACATATGTTCCCATATCTCTTCCCTCTTGCGTCTCCCTCCCTCTCACCCTCCCTATCCCACCCCTCTAGGTGGTCACAAACCACCGAGCTGATCTCCCTGTGCTATTAAGCTGCTTCCCACTAGCTATCTATTTTACGTTTGGTAGTGTATATATGTCCATGTCACTCTCTCACTTTGTCACAGCTCTTACAACACCTTAGACATGATCATATCACAATTTTAACCAAAAGTCACTCATGATTCAGCAGTGAATGACTGCCAAGATGAATGTCTTGGACCAGAGTTCAAGGCACCATGTGTCTCTGAGGCCCAATTGACTTTCCACTCCTATTACCACCTCAGGCACACCCCTATTGCAACCACAAAGACCCACTGGCCAGGCCTTTGAAAAAACAAGGAAGGAACTTTCACAGAGGCAGACCTTTCTACTCTAAGACAGAATCTGGGGTTAGCCCAACAGGTCAGGACTGGTCAGGAGCATCAAACTCAATTTCTTAAGAATAAGCAGCATCTACCTTAGATATCAAGGGTTGGCCACACCCTGATTGGAAAAAAACAATCACAGAATCCAACAAACAGTGAATTTTAGGCAGAGTCATTGAGAAAAAGAACTAAGATAATCCTTTGATTTGAGCCAGGGAGTGTGGAGTGGTAAAAAGAGGTTTCAGAATCTCATGTTTAAAACATAGTGGGGCGACTTCCCTGGTGGCACAGTGGTTAAGAATCCGCCTCCCAACGCAGGGAACACGGGTTCGAGATCTGGTCCAGGAAGATCCCACATGCCACGGAGCAAATAAGCCTGTGTGCCACAACAGTAGCTGTGGAACCTGTGTGCCTAGAGCTCATGCCCTGCAAAAAGAGAAGCCACTGCAATGAGAAACTTGCACACTGCTACAAACTGTAGCCCCCCACTCACTGAAACTAGAGAAAACCTGCACATAGCAACAAAGGCCCAACACAGCCAAAAAATAATTAATTGATTGATTGATGAATTTAAAAAAACATAGTGGGGACAGGAGCGTCAAAATGGCTGTGATCAATCAGGGGAGCTCTCCTAGAAAGATGAAGAACAGGCAAGTTCAAAGGAGCTAAAATTTGGGAGACTGGGGGAGGAAAGAGAGATCAGGTGTAAACAGAGCTTTTCTGCTCCTAGCAACAACGAGCCTCCCTATCCTTAGAGTTTAGTTCCCTTCATGGTAGCCTGTTTTCACCAGCATGAATTTTGAGGGACCTGGGAGAGGACGGGACAGCAAAGGAGGTATTAATCATAGCCTATTCTCCTGTTCAAGGGCTTGAGTTGAGCTGGGAGCTCTGGAGTCACACAACAATTGCGACTCGATGATGCAGTGATGAGGTCACAAGTAGGGCTCCCCCTTCCCCCCACTCTGTCTTCCTCAGAGCTGGGCAGAAGAACCAGAGGGAAAAATCCACCTTCCCGAGCACAGCCATAACATCCACCTCATTCAACTACTTGTCAAGTTCAATACCAACACAAAGGGGTGAGCTGCATGTGGACAACTGGAAATGCCCCCTTTTTTACCTCTCCTTTCCGGGGGATGACCCACAGCACCCCAGGCATTGAGCAGGGTTGAAATGATGGTTATATTTGGGTGAAAGTTTCCTCTCATTTTCAGTAGCAGGATCTAGCTACACCTCATTTGAAAGAGTGATTCTTAACCATTTTGGAGTTCAATGTAATGGTCTGTCTCTCCAGAGAGCCATACTGATTTTAAAACAAAATTAGATTTTAAATTTTTATTTTTGTATTGTTAAAGGAAATCAAAGATGTGCCAATTAGATCCAACTTGCAAGTATTGTCAGAGACTGAAAAGTCCTGTCCATACCCAGAAGTCAAACAGTCTATAGAGGAAGACTTAGCTCAGGGCAAAGCTCAACAGAGGGGAAAAGGATTTACTCCCTAAAATCATATTTTGTGGCTCCAACATTCATATTTTCAGAGAAACTAGAATTTCCCAGTTTATCTCCTCTTCTCTTAACTTCTTCCCTTACCCTAATCACCAGGGGGAGGAGTTCCTAGAGTGGTCTATGGGAGCCCAGCCATGGTAGGAATTCAACTCTTTTCCATGCTCAGTCCTCAAGTGACAAAATCAGTTCTCAAGGTTTTGAGGGCTTAGGCAAGACATAGAATTGGAAGAAGTGTCATAGGTCCCCAAGCCCACTAACATATCCTCCCATTCCATCTCCAGAGGGATAGGGAGGTGACCTTACAGGAGTTCTTTAAAACTGTTGCCATGCCATGGATGCATTTAGAAGTCCGATTAAGCTTAGGGACTCTTCAGAATAATGTTTTTAAATGAATGAAATAAAATACATGGGGTTACAGAAGATACCAATTATATTGATAAATATATGGTTAAATATGGTTGGGTTTGGGGGGGTTCCAAGGACCCTAAGGTTAAGAACTCCTGCTAGGGGTTATGGAATGGAGACAAGAATAAGTGAAAAGAAAGCATAGCAATGGTGGAGAGATCAAGAAATGTTGTCACCAATGCACTGCAAGGACAAGAGGACAGCCCTTAGATGAGAATTTATTCTAGAGCCTGAACACATCCCAGGAAAGACTTTCTTAAGAACAAGAATGGGCAGGGCAGGAGGTGTGTGGGGGAAGGCTGTACTGGTCCTCTCCCACCTTGCAATGTGGTCTCCCACACATAACCTGTCACGTATTTCTTTGCAGGGCTCAGAAAATCAAGAAGGAATGTCGAGTGATGATAAAAACAAGCCCAGTGAACCCAAGAATGAGCCCAAGCAATGTGATCCCAGGTGTGAACAAAGGTGTGAGACTAAATGCCAGCCCAGCTGTTTAAAGAAGCTGCTGCAACGGTGCTCTGAAAAGTACCCACAGGAAAAGTTCCCAGCACCACCAAAGTGTCCCGTGTCCCCCATGCCCCCCACTGTGCCCTCCACCATGCCCCTGCCCAGCTCCCTGCCCTCCCAAGCCATGTTCCAAGCCCTGTCCTCCTAAATGCCCACTGCCCTGCCCACCCCCAGAGTGAGGCACCAAGGGCACTACCCAGCCCACTACATCCACCATCTCCACCATATTCACCACTATGGGGCTGAGAGCTGAAGCCATGAACTGACAAGTAAATGTGTTCCTCTGTTGTGCAAGACTTTCTTCTCCTGGTTTCTTGGTAGTTTTTGGTTTGTTTCTTGTTTTCCAGCATTATACCACCAAGAAGCAACCCCCTGAGTGTGAGGCTAGGACCCTGGCCCTGCACACTCAACAACCTTGGAAGATGGTCAGGTCTCTAACCCCACCTGCTGCATAGAGGGACGTGGCATCTTCTGAGAGGTGCACCCAGGGAATGCACTCCTGCTAGTGTACAGCCTGAGAGAGCGATAAACATGGCTATTGAAGTGGCTAACCCTGGGAACCCAATGAGCACAAGCGGGGAAGAGTGTGTGAGGGGAAACAGGAATGATGCTGGGGAAAGTTCCACAAAGACTCAGGGAAAGAATTCTACCCTTGGCTATTAGTCCCATTGCATAATGCTTGGGCAGAACACTCTGAAAACAGGCTTCATGGGTTTAAACTCTAGCTCTGCTCCCCAAAATTTTGTGACCTTAAGCCAGTTGGTTACCTTCTCTGAGCCCTAGTTTCCTTCTCTCTGTAAAAGGAATGAGGATACTAATAGTATTGGTGTTACCTGGTTGTTGTGTGGCTTAAGGAGTTAACGAATGCCAAGTGCCTGATTTGCTGGGACACAGTGAGGGGAGCACTCTGTACCTGCCCAGGTGTGACACAACACACCTGAACTTGACTGCCTTGTGCTTCACTTCCTCGTCAGGCTGTAAATATCCTGAGTGCAATAATCAGGTTCTAACTCATACCGGTAAGAACAGCTAAGCATTCTTCTAAAAAATAAGAAATAAGAGAGGAGTTTGTGGATTACACCAATGTCAGTTGGCTGGCTTTGATCCTGGAGTATAGTTATGCAGCATGTCACCATGTCACCCTTGAGAGAATTCCAGTGAAGGGGACATGGGATCTCTATTTTTGCAACTTTCTGTGAATCTATATACAGTTTCCAAAGAAATAGTTAAGTACAAAAAAATAGAAAAGGATAAATCTGGGAGGACCTCAATTAAGAATGAACCAGAAAAGTTTTCACAGCTGATATGTTAGTGTACAAGTAGCTACAGGGAGTACACATCAAAGTGGCTTAATTCACAAGTTATCAGTTCATATTGCTGGGAAGGATATTAGGATGAGGAGGGGACACGTAGAATTAAAAAAGAGCCATAAGAACAAGGACTTCAGGGTCTGGGAGCATGGATTCACCGCCACTGTTTCAATCTCTCTCATCCCCACCAGTCTCCACTCCTCTTCAGGATGGGTATGCTCACCTCTTAGACCTCTCCATGTGGTAAGGTCCTTGGCCACGTGGACCCACATTGTTGATGGCTTGGGTATGAGGTATTCCTGTTATTTCAGGAAAGAAACCTGATTGGTTCTTTCCAAAAACGCAGGTTATCATCACAGCTCACAACATCCAAGCAGAAGTAGGTTTAGGATTCTTTGCTGTCACAAAGGTAATGAAAGAGGCTAGGTCATGTTATAAGTGGGAGTGATTCTACCAACCTGCTTCCTTACCTGCTGTTCTGTGATTTAGAACTTGAGACATCCAGAACTACATCCTGTTCACTCATTTGCAGGTAATATTTTATGTGCTTCCTTAAGACTGGATTGTGAAAGAGACTGAAAAGGATCATAAATTTTCATGGCTGAGTTTCTTTTAATTGAAATATAATTTACTTATTCTGAAATAGACAGATCTTAAACCTCAATCAGGATACAAAAAATAACAATCACTTCAGAAGGTACCCTTGTGCCTTGGCCAATGAATCCATACCAAAAAGCCGTGTGGCTGACAGGGTCTTGGTGCTCTGGCTGGGTGTCACGCCTGAGCCTCTGAGGTGGGAGAGCCGACTTCAGGACGTTGGTCCACCAGAGACCCCCCAGCCCCTCATAATATCAATCAGCGAGAGCTCTCCCAGATATCTCTGTCTCAACACTAAAACCCACCTCCACACAACAACCAGCAAGCTCCAGTGATGGACAAGCCAGGCAAAACAACTAGCAAGACAGGAACACAGCCCCATCCATTAGCAGAGAGGGTTCCTAAAATAATAATAAGTTCACAGACATCACAAAACACACCACCAGACGTGGCACTGCCCACCAGAAAGACAACAGTCTCATCCACCTGAACAGAGGCACCAGTACCCTCCACCAGGAAGCCTACGCAGCCCATTGAACCAACCATAGCCACTGCGGGAAAACACGAAAAACAATAGGAACGATGAACCTGAAGCCTGCAAAAAGGAGACCCAAAACACAGTAAGTTATGCAAAATGAGAATACAGAGAAACACACAGCACATGAAGGAGCAAGAACAAACCAGAACAAACAAATGAAGAGGAAATGGGCAGTCTACGTGAAAAAAAAATTCAGAGTTATAATAGCAAAGATGATCCAAAATCTTGGAAATAGAATAGAGAAAATACAAGAAACGTTTAACAAGGACCTAGAAGAACTAAAGAAAAAAAATCCAAAGAAGAACAACACAATAAATGAAATTTAAAATTCTCAGGAAGGTATCAATAGCAGAATACTGAGGCAGAAGAGTGGATAACTAACCTGGAAAATATAATAGTGGAAATAACTACCACAGAGCAGAATAAAGAAAAAAGAATGGAGGACACTCTTAGAGACCTCTGGGACAACATTAAACACACCAATATTCGAGTTATAGGGGTCCCAGAAGAAGAAGAGAAAAAGAAAGGATATGAAAAATATTAAACAGATTATAGTTGAAAACTTCCCTAATATGGAAAAGGAAATTGTCAATCAAGTCCAAGAAATGAAGAGAGTCGCATACTGCATAAATCCAAGGAGAAACACACCAAGACACATATTTACCAAACTATTAAAAAGTAAATACAAAGAAAAAATATTAAAAGCAATACAGTGGAGAAAGGACAGCCTCTTCAATAAGTGGTGCTGGGAAAACTGGACAGCTATATGTAAAAGAATGTAATTAGAATACTCCCAACAACATACATAAAAATAAACTCAAAATGGATTAAAGACTTAAATGTAAAGCCAGAAACTATCAAACTCTTAGAGGAAAACATAGGCAGAACATTCTATGACGTAAATCACAGCAAGATCCTTTTTGACCCATCTCCTAGAGAAATGGAAATAAAAACAAAAATAAACAAATGTGACCTAATGAAACTTCAAAGTTTTTGCACAGCAAAGGAAACCATAAACAAGACGAAAAGACAACCCTCAGAATGGGAGAAAATATTTACAAATGAATCAACTGACAAAGGATTAATCTCCAAAATTTACAGGCAGCTCATGCAGCTCAATAACAAAAAAAATAAACAACCCAATCCAAAAAATGGGCAGAAGACCTAAATAGACATTTCTCCAAAGAAGACATACAGACTGCCAACAAACACATGAAAGAATGCTCAACATCACTAATCATTAGAGAAATGCAAATCAAAACTACAATGAGATATCATCTCACACCAGTCAGAATGGCCATGATCAAAAAATCTAGAAACAATAAATGCTAGAGAGGGTGTGGAGAAAGGGGAACACTCTTGCACTGCTGGTGGGAATGTGAATTGGTTCAGCCACTATGGAGAACAGTATGGAGGTTCCTTAAAAAACTACAAATAGAACTACCATATGACCCAGCAATCCCACTACTGGGCATATACCCTGAGAAAACCAAAATTCAAAAAGAGTCATGTACCAAAATGTTCATTGCAGCTCTATTTACAATAGCCCAGAGATGGAAACAACTTAGGTGCCCATCATCGGATGAGTGGATAAAGAAGATGTGGCACATATATACAATGGAATATTACTCAGCCATAGAAAGAAATGAAATTGAGCTATTTGTAATGAGGTGGATAGACCCAGAGTCTGTCATACAGAGTGAAGTAAATCAGAAAGAGAAGGACAAATACCATATGCTAACACATATATACGGAATTTAAGGGAAAAAATGTTATGAAGAACCTAAGGGTAAGACAGGAATAAAGACACAGACCTACTGGAGAATGGACTTGAGGATATGGGGAGGGGGAAGGGTGAGCTGTGATAGAGCGAGAGAGAGACATGGACATATGTATACTAACAAACGTAAGGTAGATAGCCAATGGGAAGCAGCCGCATGGCACAGGGATACCGGCTCGGTGCTTTGTGACCGCCTGGAGGGGTGGGATAGGGAGGGTGGGAGGGAGGGAGACGAAGACGGAAGAGATATGGGAACATATGTATATGTATAACTGATTCATTTTGTTAGAAAGCAGAAACTAACACACCATTGTAAAGCAATTATTCCCCAATAAAGATGTTTAAAAATATATATATTAAAAGCAGCAAGGAAAAAGCAACAAATAACATACAAGGGAATCCGCATAAGGTTAACAGCTGATCTTTCAGCAGAAGCTCTGCAAGCCAGAAGGGAGGGGCAGGACATATTTAAAGTGATGAAGGAGAATAACCTACAACCAAGATTACTCTACACAGCAAAGATCTCATTCCGATTCAAAAGAGAAATTAAAAGCTTTACAGACAAGCAAAGCTAAGAGAATTCATGACCACCAAACCAGGTTTACAACAAACAATAAAGAAACTTCTCTAGGCAGGCAAAACAAGAGAAAGAAAAGACCTACAATGACAAAACAATTAAGAAAATGGTAATAGGAATATACACATCAATAATTACCTTAAATGTAAATGGATTAAATGCTCCAACCAGCGCAGAAAGAGGACTGGGGTTGGCAGCGTGAACACAGCCTGAAGGGGTTAGTGCACCACGGCTAGCCGGGAGGGAGTCCGGGAAAAGTCTGGACCTGCCGAAGAGGCAAGAGGCTTTTTCTTCCCTCTTTGTTTCCTGGTGCGCGAGGAGAGGGGATTAAGAGCGCTGCTTAAAGTAGCTCCAGAGACAGGCCCAAGCCGCGGCTA